AAAAAACAGTTAAATTGTGAATATACAGAGAGAATTTTCTTTTAAAATTTACCCTGAAAATATGATAGTTGTGGTACAATACAATATTTTAAAGATTTTTACTATGCACTTCAGCAAAATTAATCAAACTTCTTTTATACTTTATTATATTGTAGTTTTATTAATGAGAGAATAAAAGATTTACATTAAAATTCTTCGAAATACAATGTTGTCCCACAATTATCATATTTTCAAAATAACTCTAAAAAAAATTCTCTCCGTAAAGTACATTTTTTTCATATATTATTTAAATATAAAAAGTGATCCGGAATTAGTGCCTGATTCACATCTAGTGGTTTTACCCTATATTCTCTCGCAGCTTACCTCGAAAGTTTTTGAAAACATTTTAACAAAATATTCTTTCAAGTACTTTTCAAGTTGTAAAGCTTGAAAATTTACAGTACTGCTGACATTAACATTACCCATGAGCGTATCCGGGGAGCAGGTTCAAACTCCCCCGAAATTTTTTATTAATTATTTCATTTTGAGAGGATTCCGTTGGCGCACATTCTGATTGCACACATCCACTCACATCGGTTGGTGTCTAATAACTTTTCACTGCTTTACTAATGAGAATATTTTATTTTGAATTGGCGATGTACATACTCTATCGAACTCCTATCTTTCACTTTTAAATGTAAAAACCATAAAATTTTACTTTTGACTTTGTGTGAGTTTTTTGCTGTTACATAAAATATTTTTTTCTTCTCATTATAAAACTATATAAGTTATTTTTAATATTTCTGTTAATTTAAGCTTTGACAAAATATATGATACAAAGAAAATTTTCATAAAGTTTTTGCCATAAAAAACTGAAAAAAAACAGAATATACACTATAATTGATATACACTATAATACAGGGTGCGGCAGAGAAACTTACTTTTTTTAAAGGTTAATAAAAACGAAACTATTGCAGATATCGGTATAATTCTTTTTTCCTCTTACAGATCACCTCATCAAATTTTTTTTCATGCACTTTTGAAAATTACATCTATCAAATGACGGCCGCCGTTGTCTATGCACTGATTGAGTCGATTTCTGAAGTTTTGCGTCACTCTCTGAAGCATGTCCACCGGTATTTCGGCGATGGCGTTCCGAATGTTTGTCTTCAGGTGAGCTAGGGTCTCTGGTCGATCGTTGTAAACAATAGACTTCAAATAACCCCATAGGAATAATGAAGCGCGCTCGAAAGGCACGTTGAGTGGCGACAATGGAGCGGCCATTACCAAAGTATGCCTCGACGGCAAACGCGCGATGCTCTCTTGTCCAAAGCATGATCGAGACTGGCTGTGGGGGGAACAAAAATTGAGGACCTATCCTTTCGGACGCACCCCCTCCCAGCTTCCTACCTTCACCCCTTGCCGTTTGGCGCGTTTTTCAAAAAAGTAAGTTTCTCTGCCGCACCCTATACATTCTTGTAGTAACTGTATTATCCTTGTTTAAAAAAATCTTTAACAAAATAAATAAAAGTTACATATATAAAACGTAACATTCTTCCTCTTCAAAACGAGGAAATATTAAAAGTTGTAAAAATATTCAAATGGAATTCATTAATTTTAAAAATTGTTATAAATTACAA